TCTCTCTCTCTCCCTCTCTCTCTCTCTCTCTCTCTCTCTCTCTCTCTCTCTCTCGCTCTCTCTCTGTGTGTGTGTGTGTGTGTGTGTGTGTGTGTGTGTGTGTGTGTGTGTGTGTGCTCGTAATGTGGTGAAAGGCAAAGGTTTTTTTTTTTTATTCCAATGATCTCAATATAGAATCTCCTTTCAGTTTGGACACAGCCCCCTCTCTCTCGGCTCTCTCTTTCTCTCTGTTTGTCTCTCTTTCTCTGTTTGTCTCTCTCTTTGTGGTGATTGTGCTCTCCAGAGGCGCAGTGGAAAATGTGATGTATTTCCCCTGGATTTAAAACATGTGGTTCCCTTCTGGCAGAAACGCCCAACTGACGAGACAGCGGGTGTTCCATCATACTGGGTTTTACTATCTGCATGTTTTTCTGTCAATCTTTTTTTGTGTATATAAATAAAGCGATGTGCCTTAAGATGCAATCACTTTACCAACATTTTTGACTAAAAAATTAGTCAAATAGTGTAGTGCAGACACAGCTCACACAGAAGTCATATTCAAACCTAGCACCTTCCTCTTGGTCCATGCGCTGAATTTGCATGACCAATTTGAACATGAGTGAATTCTGCCGTTGGGAACTTTTGCCCAACCGTGCAGTTTCCTATTAAAAATGACTGGATTCCACCTGCGAAATTTAGCCAAGCAACAGTAAATATCATTGCACCTTTAAAGGGATAGTTTACCTAATAATATATTCTGGTATCATTTATTCACATTCATGCCGTTCTAAACTCCTATGGCTTTTTTTGGTGGAACACAAATGGAAAAAGAAAATAATTTTTGAAGAATATCATGGGCACTCTTTTATTAATATAATCAAATTGAGGATTAGGACTAGGGATACGTTTAATTTGGGAATGCTTCGATGTCAATTTATTCACGATTCTGACATCTTCCATAAACTCTCCTCAACGTGGCAATAAAAGTAAAGGTGGATGTCAAAATGTGAGTAATGACTGTTAATGAAAATGCTATCGTATATTGTCAGAAGACTTGGATTTATAATGCACAGTGTCAACTTTTATGATTCTTTTTTGTCATCTGGGAGATTTACAGCCCCAGTCCCCATTTACTCCCATTATTTTGAAAGTGTGACCTGGATATTCTTCAGTTTTCTTCATAGTTACCGTATGCGTTTTACAGAAGAAGAAAGTCATGTTTGGAATGACACGAAGGATAGTAAACAATGACAGAGTTTCCATTTTTGGGTGAACTATTCCCATACGTTTTGAGTCATGTTGCCATTTCATTCATTATAGTATGAACCTCAGTCACCTTTGTTCCTCATGGCACCTGTTTTTAGTCAGTGCTAAATATATAAAGACAAAATCTCACATTTTCCATGATTCAGTGCTTCCTGCCTTTCTGTATATATGTTCAATACCAGTGTGTGTTGCTCAGTGCCAACCCCCATCATATTGTGAAGACAAAACATTTCCATTTATCCCCTAAAGGATTGTTATAGGTCACATAAACACTGTAACACATACAGCAACTACTCAAAATGAAAAAAGCCCATCTGTGATCTCAGTGCCATCATATCTCACGCTCTGCAGTCAGACAAGCATGGACAAATGGGGAACCATGTCTGCAACCATGTAAACAGACTCAATTGTGCAAGAAGTTTAATATCAATGTGTTTGTGTATCTGTAATGACAAATAACCTCTCTCTCGTTCTCTCTCTATTTTCGTTGTAGGGCTGGAAGGGCTCCCCCTCATGGCAGGGTCAAAGACTACTGTGTTCACCCACTGCTACAGAAGGTGAGTGATCAAGTGCATGCTCTCTGTATTTAAACACAAGTATTTGCATCATTGATATGGCTTACAAAGTAGGGCTCTGCCATGAATACCTTCCTCAGAAGCATGTTTTTGATCCAGTTTTCTCCAAAGGCATGTCAGAAAATGTTTATTAAAGCATTCAAAGCCTTGAACCAAACCAGCCAGTTTCGAGAACATACAGTATACACAACAAACATTTGGTTTGAAGTAAATATTTGAAAGTCTGGAAGACAAAGTGACAAAAATATAAGATTATGTATTTAACATCCTTAGGCCCGGTTTCACAGACAGGGCTTAGACTAAACCAGGATTAGGCCATTGATCAATTAGGAAATTTAAGTCATTTTTATTAACATGCCTTAGAAAAGACATTACTGGTGTGCACCTTGAGACAAAAAAAAAAGGCACTGATGTATTTTAAGATCAATCAGTGCAAGTTTCTTTCAGTTAAAACAGCTCAGACTTACACTTTAGTCTGGAACTAGGCTTAAAGGTCCCCTGAAATGCTTAGAAACACACAGCGTTACTCTATGTGTTGACGTCAATTTAACTGAAACAGGAAGACAGGGCGGGACATATCAAGCAGCCCTGCCCCTTTTTAGAATAGCCAATAGAGTTCGTTTATATCACAGCTTGGGCTAGAGCCGTTGAGCTCCGTAAAGCCGCATTTGACAGGGTATGCCAGCCACAATCTCATCCATATTGCTATAAAATATAGCATTCTGTGTAGAATTCAAATAGCTCCGATACAGTTTGTGGTCTGCGCCGACTTCAGCGTCTATTTTATAGAGTAGGGGGCGGGGGCTTCGGATTCTAGAGAGCATTTGATTGGACCGAAAGTTTGATGAGAAGCTGAAATACGATGTGACGGCAAAACGGCGCAATGATTTTTTGCGCCGTTTTGGCGGAAGTGACGAACTGCAAGCTTTGAATGCTTATATCTTCTAAATGCGAATTTTGTCACTGTTTTGGAGCACACTGCCTTATAGATAACCTTAAGACTAACATATTGATACTAACACCCAAAAAACTTTAATTTTGATTTCATGGGGACTTTATGCCTTTTATGCCGTCTGTGAAACCGGGGGTTAGTGTACCATACTTAACTGTATCAATTGTATCAAATGTTACCGATGCTATAAAATATAGCATTCTGTGTAGAATTCAAACAGCTCCGATACAGTTTGTGGTCTGCGCCGACTTCAGCGTCTATTTTATAGTGTAGGGGGCGGGGGCTTCGGATTCTAGAGAGCATTTGATTGGACCGAAAGTTTGATGAGAAGCTGAAATACGATGTGACGGCAAAACGGCGCAATGATTTTTTGCGCCGTTTTGGCGGAAGTGACGAACTGCAAGCTTTGAATGCTTATATCTTCTAAATGCGAATTTTGTCACTGTTTTGGAGCACACTGCCTTATAGATAACCTTAAGACTAACATATTGATACTAACACCCAAAAAACTTTAATTTTGATTTCATGGGGACTTTATGCCTTTTATGCCGTCTGTGAAACCGGGGGTTAGTGTACCATACTTAACTGTATCAATTGTATCAAATGTTACCGAGTCTTTTCTGCTTTAATGCTACAATATCCCACATTAACTAACATTAAGTAGCTAGTTAGCTAAACCCTAAAAAGCTATAAAGACTAGAGCAATTTCCATTGGATCATGTTTCAGGATTGTATTTACATTTACGTTTATCTAAAGTGACTTGCATTGCATTTGAGGTACACATTTGGTCATTCCTTGCTTTCCCTGGGAATTGAACCCATGACCTTGGCATTGCTAATGTCATGCTGGTAGTCTTGGAAAGTTTGCATGTTACCACTATAAATATATTTTCTTACTGAGATTTTAAATGGCATTTTTACATCTGGGACTGTAATGTTGATCAGTGTGTTCTTTTTAAAATCAGATGTGGGATATTCCTGCTTATTATCTTTGGCATAATAGCATTCTGTTGCTCAGAAACGACAAAAAAAGCAAGAAAAAAAACAATTATTTATATAGCTGTGGGGGTGTTCCACTGTCAACAAAGAAACCTCCTAGCGACTGCAAATAAGAATAAAGGATGCTGTGCAATGCTATGCAGGTGTACGCTTATCAACAGAGAGGGGCGTTTACTGTGTTTTATACACCTGTATCTGCAAACGTTTGCTAAACAAGTTTTATCATTATGTAATGTAGGAATTTTGAGTCACTATGTGCACCCAGATAATAGAGTTATAATCAGATTGATGGCTCAACTGGACTGAAAGCCTTGATGTAAACACCCCAATCGATCTGACAGAGGTGGATCCAAATACATGATCAACAGGAAAAGATTATGCTTTGAAGTTTATTCGTTATCTATTTAAATCTCTTAGCATTACATCAAAAATAGCTCTTGATGGCGTGGCTCAGGATATTAAAATAGGTTCTTAAAACTCATAAGTCCATAGTTACAGTTATCATCTTTCAGCTCTAAAGTCACTGGAAATGTGGGTAAATAGAGTAAGGTCCATCACCCTGAGGGGTCTGAGTGACATGTTAAACGACTCCAGTCTTTATCACCCAGACATCAGACCTCACTGCAGAGCATCACGGTCCGCCTCAGACTCATTAAACATAACGACTGCAGTAATGAGGCAGTTTATAAATGGGACGCTACAAGCCCCTTGGCGTATACAGCATACGAAGAGTTCTGGACCGGAGCTGTACCATCTACGGGACAGCTGGAAGCACCAGGATATGCACTGACACTAAACTGTGATGTACAGTGACGTCCTCTGACTCCACAGTGCGTCCGTCTGTTGTTCGCTCAAGAGAGAGCATTCATAACTAATGCTGCAGTAGTGTGATGAATTCTCCCATCATTCAACAGGGCCCCGCATACTGTCATTACAATACTGCCCCCTGCTGGGCTGGCAATCTACCCGTTCACTGTCCACAAACAGAGGTGGCCAAAATGATTAGAACACTAGTATTTTCAGCAGCTAAAAATGGTTTTAAGTCAGTTATTTCTATCTTTTGCTGTAGTGGGTCAGTGGGAAATATCAGTTTAGATTTCCAAACATTCATTTTGCCTTTAATTGTAATAATTGCCAAACACAGAGATCTGATCTGATCATCATCCAGTCTGTCTGGAATGACACAAACTGAGACAGACTAGTTTTGGGTAGTTTTTTGAAGGCTCAGTTAATTGCTAGTGAGCTCTAACTGGACTGCACTATTGCCGTACATTTGGTTACTATACATCTAACGGCCATTTATGTGTCTGCAGACGTTACAGTGGTGTATCAGAACGGCTTGCCGGTGATCTCCGTACGTCTGCCGTCCCGACGAGAACGCTGCCAGTTCAGCCTCAAACCCTTGAGCGACACGGTGGGGGGTCTCCTTCAGCAGCTGCAGGCGGAGGACAGGGGCATCGATAGAGTCGCCATCTACTCTACAGGTAGAGCACAACACAAGATTGCCGAAATCTAAAGCCAAATCTAGAAGACAGTCAAGTTTTGGTTTAACCTTATGCTGAAGTTTTCCCAGATGTTAATGGTGTTACAGTTGTGATCAGTTATATCACCCATGCCATTCTTAATTCTTTTCTTCGTGTCTTACTGACCCCAACGGTAGTAGTATACAAATAACACAATGATAACAAAGTTTTCATTTTTTGGTGAACTATCCCTTTAAGAATAGTCAGTGCACATTCAAACACATTCATTGTTCTCAGCTCTGGGGGCAAAATGAAATTCAAATTGAAGTTATTAGCAAATTCTTTTGTGGTTTAAACCACAAGTCGCAGATGAGCGTGTGGCTTTCTCTGACATGTTTCATTGATCGTACATCTTCTAATCTAATTAAGGAGCAAGAATAATTTGTACTCTGTGCAAACTGCATATCTGCTCTGTTTCAAGCTCAATTATTCCTGTGTGAGAGGCACTTGTGCTTTCTTTACTTCTCTCTGTTTCACCTCAGATTGGAAAATGCTTCTTTTCCTGATGAGCATACTAACACAGAGCAGGAAACCTTTGCGATAAGCATTGAGATTGACTCTCGTATTACATAACCATTTCAGTGAGAGGATTGCGTTCCGCTAATTTCCCTCCTTCTCTCTCTATAGATGGAGCAAGAATAGCGTCCTCGACAGGAATGGACATTTTACTGATGGACAGCTTTAAGCTAGTCATTAATGACACAACATACCTGGTGCAGCCGCCCAGGAGAGGTGAGTGTGCCCTGTTGCATTGTGGGTCATTATGTGCAAGACTTTGCAGAGGCCCAGCTGAGTTTTTGATATTCTGTTGGCATCCGTTGCAGATCTGCTACCGCACGAGGAAGCGGAGCGACTGAACGACGTCAAGTTCTTGGTGCAGCAGCTCTACACCACCCTGTGCATAGATGAGCATCAGCTCACCAAAGAGAGAGAGCTGATTGGACGACTGGAGGACCTCAACTCTCAGCTCCAGCCCTTGGAGAAGGTGAGCTGTTTGGATTAATGTCACCAAAACACAAAACACCTGACCAATTTATTCTCCTCAAACTGGGATTTAAATTTTTTTTAATTTTTTTAGCCGTTTTAACCTATTTTGCACCAAAAAACCATAGATACACGTGGACCTGTCTGGTGGAAATAGTTTTTACTTCAGAGATTTAAAAAAAATAATACATATATGTATGTATTAAAAGGTAATTGCAAGATTTCAGATTTTAAAATAAGAATGTGAAATTTGCAATTAAAAGAAACCGTCACAATTGCAAAATTCCCTTTTTTTGTGATCTGAAATCCAAGTTGGAAGATGTAAAGTCGCATTTGTGACCCTGGACCAAAAAGCATAAGGGTCAATTTTTTGAAATTGAGATTTATAAACCATCTCAAAGCTGAATAAATAAGCTTTCCATTGATGTGTAGTTTGTTAGGACAGGACAATATTTGGCCGAGATACAACTATTGGAAAATCTGGAATCTGAGGGTGCAAAAAATTATGAGATATAAAGTCACATTGCAAAAAATATAGAGTATGTGTTGCAATTATAATGGCAAAGTGTGATATAAAGTCATAAATAAGATATATGGTCAATTACCTTTTTAGTTTTTTGTACTCTGTCTGTGGTGCCAACAGTCAATTTTTGTCCAGCAATGCTACAGAGTTAAAAAAAGATGTAGCTTATGCAAATGAAGCAGCAATGTGACGCGACGGCTGAAGTGAAGACAGTGAAGCTCTTGTGATTCATCTTCTGTCAAAGAAAATGGAGGAGTTAATGTTACTGTAAGCAGTTTCCTTGCTCTTGATGATTCGTCTCTGCCCACATGCAGAGATATAATGAAAAATTATCCGTGGAAAACAGAAATTGAGTTTGATTCCTGCGCTGATAAATAATCTTGTTCACAATATGGTGTATTACGAACTGTTGGAGTTTGTGTACATGGTTTTTGCCCTGCGTTATGTAAATTTACAGTATAGTATATCAACCAACATATAATTTGTGACGAGGTTTTCAAAAGCTATGGCCAATAGCAGTTCACTAATAACATTATTGCATCCAGCACAATAGCCACTTTGACCAAGAGTACAACCACTTGATTCAATCCCAGTCCTATTTCTGTCATATTTCAAGTGCTAAACTGTGTGATGCGATGTTTATTATGAATATAAACATAATTTGGTTATATTAGATTTGTATTTGATCTGAATTGGGAACTCTAATACACTGGTTCTGTGGTTGCCTCTTCAGATGACTTTTTAAGTTTGCAGATCTCACTAACTATTTTTTTTTTGTGTGGTTACTGAACATCTAAAAATGTATGCAAACATATATTTTAAGACTTTTCAGTGTAAATGGAATCATAAACTGGGAAAAAAACTACGTTTATGTACTCCATTTCTTATTAGTTCCACCAACCACTGAACCGCACACACAGGATCATAGACAGCTAAAGTGATACTAACACACATTATCTGATCATAATGATAACTGGTAATTAAGCTGAGGATCTAATTGCACCGTATATTGAGTGTGTAGAAGAGAGGGGTTTAACACACTGAGAGCTGTCTGAATACTGCTAATTTTGTAATTGCAAAGTTTTGTGAAAGCAACTGAGCCTTGCTTTTGGGAGTTTTGTGTTCTTTAGCATTATAAATGAGCAAAACTGAACTAATAAAGCCAACAGCTATTTCTTTGAAGGAACTGAAAACCTCACTGACTTTTGAACGGACTGGCCACTGTTTGTTCCACAAGGACAGCTAAATAAAAAGGCTTATTAACTCTTAAAAAGGAGAAGGTTGTGTGTTTTTAGTCTTCTGGTGCATTTTGATGTTAATGTGACACATTCTCGATTAACATTTGCCTAATTTTACTGAATCTTGCATATAATACTTGTCTATATTTGTCTATCCACAAATGTTTATAATCTATAAACAAATGTTTGTGTGTATGTATATATATATATACAGTGGGTACGGAAAGTATTCAGACCCCCTTAAATTTTTCACTCTTTGTTATATTGCAGCCATTTGCTGTGAAACGATTAATTGCATTCAAAATAAAAGTTTGTTTTTTGTAAAAGTCTCACAAAAGGTATACAAAAATTATACTATACACAAAAAACTCAAAAAAAAGAGAAGAAAAAAAATTTGACCCCCCACGGGTCAATATACACCTTAAACAAAGACATACGTAATCAAACATAAACGAAACATTAAAGATGGAGTGAAGGAATAAAACAGTGAAGCTATCTATTCAACTCTTATAAAGATACCTAAGGAAGGGGCCCCAGATTTGATCAAATGTTTTAGAAGCATCGATCTTGGAAAAGCGAATCCTTTCGAGCTTGAGGGCCGCAACCATCTCCGCTAACCATTTATGAAAACTGGGCAGTAAAGAGGACTTCCAATCCATCAAAATCACCCTTTTAGCTACCACCATACCAAACATAAGAGGCATTTGCTGAGAATGTGTTAATGCTAATTTAGGGTCAGAACATCCAAGCAAAGCTAATTCAAGATCTGGACTGATATCTTCTCCAAAAACATTTGAATACTCTCTCTGTCTTTTTGAATATATATCACGTTAACAAAAATGAATAAATACTGTAACAAATATATTGCCCATTGTTAGTTCATGTTAGTTAATGCATTAATTAAGGGGACCTTATTGTAAAATGTTACCCAGTAAATGTTAAATTCATTTTTAAATGTTAACATGTAGGCAGTCGTAAGAAATTCTTCAAAACATAGCAAAATCTAGTGTTGACAGCACAGTAGCATGCTGGTAAAAATATATTTTTGAATGTTTGCAATATCTTTTGTAATCTCATGTTCTCAGGTTAAAGAAGAGCTGAGTAAGAGAGCTGAGCGCAGGACTACATGGGTGCTGTGGGGTGGGATGGCATACATGGCCACACAGTTTGGCATTCTGGCACGGCTGACCTGGTGGGAGTACTCATGGGATATCATGGAGCCCGTCACGTATTTTATCACCTATGGTACAGCAATGGCTATGTACGCTTACTTCGTGCTGACACGTCAGGTGAGCAGCTCCAGCTCTTAATCCCCACACTTTCAGAAGGTCCCTGTGAATACACGGGAGGAGGAGATCCGTCTGACCTCTCTGCTGCCATTCTCTCACACAGGAATATCTTTACCCAGACGCCAGGGACAGACAGTACCTGCTGTTCTTTCATAAGGGAGCGAAGAGAACACGCTTTGACATTGAGAAGTACAACAAACTGAAGGATGCTATTGCTGAGGTAAGCTAGTTCACACACAAACATTGCATGAGTCGCTTCTTTCGTTCTCTTAAAGGAACAGAAAACTGTTGTTAGACTGTATACTCAGTAGACATGTGCTCAATATTATGGTTTAGTGCAGTAAAGGATATGTATGATTTTGTTAGCTTGGACACACAGTGAATACAGCATTTTTGTTTTCCATAACAAGATAAACTTACAGCATTGTCATGGACAGCAGTGAATATATTTGACGACTAAATGCCATTTAAAGATGATACTATTAGTAATATATTCATAATTCATAATGTGCTTAATTTTCATTTTAATCAGCAAATGTTCTGTCACATGAAATGCTAATTGTTATTTTGCATATTCAGCTATCTATAAATCATCACTTATTTGAGGATTAATTTTCTTTAAAAAGTCCCCCCCCCCCCCCCCCCCAACCCCCACATTTTTTTTTTTTTTTTAATGTTGGTGTTAAAAAAACTAAAATATCACACATGACAATGTTTCTCGTCTGTTTTGTAGGTGCAGACAAAACATGAAAAAAAAAAACTTATGTATGACCCAGGGGACATGAGTAGATGTATTAATGTTTTTTAATGTTTACTTGTATTTTACAGGGTAATTTTATTTTTAATAATTAAGCACAAACTATCAGTCAAACCTCTGCTGTATTTTTCATCAACCCCCCAAAAAAATCCAAAGACAGTAATATTGTCAAATATTATTACAATATAAAATAACTTCTCCATTTTAATTTATTTTAAAATGTAATTTATTCTTGTGATGCAAAGTAAGTCCAAAACCAAACAAAACAAGGTAAATTCAAAACAAAAAAGAAAAAGTAAAAAACTAATATGGCAGTAAATCAATGTTGTTCTTTTGAACTATAATATTTATCAAAGAATCTTGAAAAAAAAAAAGTTTTCACAACATTATAAAGCAGCGAAAACAGCCTAAACTTTGATAATAATAGAAAAAACATGATTAATAATTAAGCACCAATAATCTCATCAGCATATAAGAATGGTTTCTGAAGGATCATAAGTGGGATGAACTGTCTGATTCTGCTTTCTACATATTGTTTTTGCCATCAGTCATTAAAAGAAAGTTAAAGAACCCTTTAATAAAAGTCTTTTTTAGTGCTTTTTGCTGCTTTTATTTTGAAAGCCTGCTGTATGGAGAAGAACAGCATGAACATTCTCTCCAACATCTCCGTTTTTGGGGTGCTCTGTTACATACAAATTCATTCGTCCTTATTTTCTTTCTGTGCCTCAGGCGGAGTTGGATCTAAAGCGTCTTCGAGACCCGCTGCAGTTGCAGCTCCCTGTCCAGCAAATCAATGCCAGCGAGGACTGATGAGAACCTGAAGCCCTTTCATTCTCTTCTGCCTCTTTGCGTTTTGTTTTCTGTCTCTTTTGATCTTTTTGCTTTATCTCTACAACCTCAATGAAAAACCAGATCCACAGCAAGCTTCGGAGTTTTATTATCCTTTTTATTGTGTCCTTTAATTTGGCAAGTCTATGCAGAGGAGAAGAGATACAATTAAACGAAACGACAAAACTCGTTTTGTTTGTGTGACGACACATGCAGGAGCACACGGAGAAGGACTTCAGACAGGAAGTGGAGACATTGGGATTGAACCAGTACATCATTATGAGACAATGACCCCCACGTCTTGCATGGGAAAGGACTCTCATAAATCTAAAAACCATCTGCCCTTGGGTTGAACAGTTTTTTTTCCACATTGGAGTACTGCTGATATCCCTAACTCTGACACTTTGCAGAAGAGATTTCGGGATGTGGTGCTCTTTTCCGTCTTCGGAAAAGATCTGTTTACCATCGAGCCAGTCCTCTTGTGGCTGAAAGGCCTGTACGTAACAGCCTTTTGATTTCTTTCTCGCTTCCTTACGGACCTGTTAAGACCGATCTAACAGCTAAAATATCACTGTGTGTTCTATTAGTCCAAAAAGAAAACGAATCAAAGAATTTGGGCACTTTTTATTTTCAAAGCCATATTATGTTTTTTTATGATGATGGAAAAAAAGAGAAATGAGTAGAAACTTTTCTTCTCATTATTAGATTTTCTTTTTGTTTTTAATCATGCAACCAGACATTACATATCTGCAGATGCTCTGATATTTTATTTTCTGAGCTCCCCCATCATAAAACGAAGCTCGAAAAGTCCATTCCTAACGCTGTGAGCCTCTGATTTATTTTTTTTTCTTTAGAAATATGATACACCCCATCGGTTTACATGTTGATGCGAAATGCAGATGGATCCTCTTTAAAGGTCTTCTCTATAAATCTTCTTTGGAACATCATCAAATGACATTTTCCCACAGTGCCTCGCAGCATCTGCTGCAGCGTGCTTGTTACGAAACACCTGTTTATCAGACGCGATCCAAGAAAATGACCCATCGAACGGTCTTAAGGCTGGTCACTGTGTAAAATGTGATTTATTTTGCTGGAAAAAGGTTCCGGACGCGATCAGCTTCCCATCATTCATGTGGCGTTTTTAGCTGCATATATCTGCCTCGTATGCCAAGTCTTCTGGGACATGCAGAGAACGTGTAATATATTAGATCTAGAATTAGCGTGTGTTTTGCACACTTCGTGGCATGCTATAGAGAGAGAGAGAGCGTCTATATGTGCTATCTTTAGCCGACAGGCCTTAGCAATGATTCTAGCTGGGTTGAGCTTGAGCGTCGACATCGTTTTCATCGGTTTTGCCATGCATTTTCAGTCCAGTTAGTATATGAGATTATGCTATTAATGCTATTATAAAAACAAAGTTCTCTCCATCATTTCCACAAAGATGGGCAACCAGATTATTTAAATCTAAGGGATGTGAAACGGACTTGACTCTGGTTGCTCTCTAACAAAATGATCATATCAAGTCTCGAAATTGGTTTTTGGGCCATTATCGTTACCCATAATCCTGTTGTCTATTGTGGGTTTGCCCTACACACACAGCCCGGCTGTCCATGTTTGTGCCTGTGGTCGCCATTAAGTGTTTTTTAAAGCCATATTCATGTTGCGTTTGTGTCTTTATAGGTGGAAGGGGCACATAGAGTCTCAAATCCCCTTAGCAGCAGCAGCAGCAGCTTGTGTCCATTCTTACCATGTGTTTAAATATTACAGGGTGAGATTCCAGCCTACAACTCTAATAGAAGGAACATTAAAAGAAAGAGTTCGTCCAAAAACCAGTTGTTTCTGTGAAACTCAAAAGGAGAAATTTAGTAGAATGTTCTTGCAGCTCATTTCTATACAACATTCATACTGACCACGGCCGTCAATCTTTTAAAAATCCTTCATTAGTTAATATGACTCTATATTCCAAGTCTTCTGAAGCCATGTGAAAATGTTGAGGAACAGATTGACATTTTTCTAAAATGGCGATTGTGTTTAGTTTCATTTTTAGATTCAAACGCTGATGTTTCTTGTTTCAGTGTTGGGAAATGGGGAAGATTTTTAGCAGCTGATGACTGAAATGGATGGTTCAACCAAAAATGATAATTTCCCTCATTTCTGTTCATCCATTCAAAATTCATCCAACCAAAACTTTGACGTATCAAAAAGTAAAAAAAACAAACCAAAAAAAAAGTTTGTATGAATCAAGTGGTTTAATTCACATTTTCTAAAGAGACATGAAGAGATTTAATTTAGTCTTTTATCAATACTTTGTTCAATGCATATAAACGGAGCTCATCAAATATGGCAAACGGAAGCTCCACGTTATTTGCTTAAAGTGTGAGAAGGGCAAACACAAGAACAAACAAAATTGGTAAAATGATTGTAAAGTGTTACCAATTTAATTGCGTTCATCATATAAAGTAATTGTGTCTCTTCAAAAGACTTGGATTGAATCACTTGATTCATATGGATTGATGCACCAATGTTTTTGTTGTGTGGACTTTCAAAAGATGAGCGAATGGTAAAAATATCCTCATGTGTTGTTTTGAAGAGTCTTCTAGGTTTAGAATGACATAAGGGTGAGTAAACAATTCAAAGCTATTGTATGACTTCAAGAGACCTGGAATATAGCCTCTGAATCATGTAAACTACTTCTTGTTGGTCTTTTTAGAGCTTTTTAGAGTTTTAGAAAAGAGAACTAAGAACTGTGAAAATTCTTCAAACTTTCTCTGTTTTGTGTTTATTGGGAATAAAAAACAGCATCGGGTCTGGAATGACATTATGGTAAATAATGACAGAAGTATTTGGGGATCATAATCCATAATTTGGATTTTGCATGTCTGGCTAAACGTGTAAGTGTTGAGATGGATGGCCTTTAACAGTGACTATTTATTGTTGGTGAGGAGTTCAGGTCATTGGGAGTTACTCGGTGTGCTTGAGTGAATTACCTTGTGATTTAACACCGCAAGATCTGAACTGTAGGTGATTTTTTTTTTTTTAAGGATAACAGCTTGCATTATGTCTGACCCAGCTGCTTTCAGGGTGGATGCTTCTCTCTTTTATCAGAGTCTGTTTGAACAGGGTTTATCGGACTGAAATTCAAACTGTGGTTCCATCACTCTAGACGTAGCTGATGGGCACAATACACATGCATATCCACTATTGGTCCGGAAACAACATTGAGGCATAGTGCTGAACCTAAGCATTAATCACCCTAAAGGAAATGAGCGACTGATTATATGAATGTTCATAATCCTTAACCTAAACCTTAAAATCGGTTTGGTCTATAAAGGATCAATAAAGAATGTTGACTGAAGGCAGAATCAAGGTCACGGTGCACATTTGTGACAATATGCAGTTGGTGTGAGCATCTCGTCTCAGACTTCATGAGTTTTCTGTTCATGCATAACCTTCGTCCATAGCGGTCAAAATCAGCCGGTGCATCATACGCATAAAAAACATCCATTCTTCCTCACTTATGTGATCAACAGTCATAAATTCATCTTTTATAAACACACTCCAAAGTTATTTCAGGGCAAAAAGTCAGCCATCTCACTCTCCAAGATGCCCAGTACACTTGACACCCCTCGATCTACTGAACATCTATAAGAGGTCTTGGGACTGGTCATTATCTGATAAGTTGAACTTCTTTTTCATTTATTTGTAGGGTTTTCGGTTTGTTTCAGGGTTTTTAAAAATAATATATCAAATATATGGAATCTATTCTAAAGCGGGTGTTGCATGAATGTATGTTTACATGGGGAAATTACATATAAATGAATCAAAAAAGCAAAGATTACTATGAATGCTGATTGCAGATGAACAGACTCCTGGTTCATCAAGAGTTAGATTTTTAGATTTTTGATTTTTCCAACCAATCTCTCACCCTTCATGACCCAGCAGCAAGTACGCTCTCGACAGCTGCAAGGCTGTAATTGGTCAAGGATCTCTTCTACATCATGTCTTGTTTTATCCTGTCTTTGCTCTCTCGATCTCAATGCTGCTGCTCGATCGCTGCAGTGCTGCCTTTATTTTGATCTGAGAACAGAGTATGGAAGACCTGACCTTCTCAAACGCCCCTCGCTCCATCCATTTGCCTGTCTTTCTTTAGCTTCTTATTATACTCCCACACTGATTATCTTTTAGTTATGTGTATTATTTTTTAAGTTTTCTTCATGTGCACTTAAAATGAAAATTATATTTTGGGGGAAAAAAGGTAATGGGTCATGCTGAATGAAAAACATTTTTCATATTCTTTATTTGTTCATTTTGTCATTGGCATTGGATGTTAGAAGAATTCAAAAATGACAATGTAAAATCCTGTATCATTTATGAAATGTGTATAAAAGAGAAATGTAATTCAATTATCAATAAACACTTATCCAATTTTGGAACCGGTAGTGATTTTATTTATTTATTGTAAATTCTAATTATTTATAATGCAACATTTTCAAACATAGTGTTGTGACCAGTTACAGAACATCAAATACACACATTCAGTTATAAAGCAGAGTATATATGATATTATATTATATTTATTATATTATAAAATCTTGACCACTATTCACTGCCATTATAAAGCTTGGAAGAACCAGGACATTTAAAAAAATATATATAACTTTGATGGTATTCATCTGAAGGAAGAAAGTGATATACACCTAGGATACACCAAATCATGGGGTAATTTTCATTTTTGGGTGAACTATCCCTTTAATCATCCATCACAATGAGAAAAAACAAACAATATAGTTCTGATGTGCAGCAAAAGATTGTTGAGCTTCACAAATTAGAAAGTAGCTGTAAAAAAAGAGCTAAAGCACTGAAAATTCCCATTTCCACCAAATCTGCCTGAAAGAGAACATGTCTACACTGTCTTAAAGCAAGGCGAGGAGGACAGTTTGAATGGCCAAAGATTCTCCAAGGATCACAGCTGGAGAATTGGAGCAAATAGTTGAGTCTCTTGATCAGAAAGTAAAAAAAATATATATATAAATATATATATATCAAACAGCACCAATATCACTACATTTTTGGAGGGTTTCAAGAAAAAATGAAAATGCTCTCATCCAAAAACAAACTCCAGCATATTAATTTGCCAGACACTACTGGAACTTCAAACTGGACTGGGCTCTATGTTCAGATGAAAAGTACAAAATTAGATTTTAGCAGCAGACCCCCAAGATGGGTTTGATGCACACACGGATAAAAAAAAAAAAGTACTCAATGTGTACACTGTATACTGCCAGAGATCCTGGACAGATTGATGGCATCACAGATTTTATCAAACACAGACAGATAAAAAAATCAAAAGACTAATCCCTACTAGAAATCATATAATAGGCCAAGGTTGGATCTTCGACCAGGACAATGATCCAAAAACAAACATCAAAAAAAAAAAAAAAATGGATCACTGAGCACAAAATGAAGCTTCGCCCATGGCCATCCCAGTTCCCTGAGCTGAACCCTGAAGAGGAGAAGCACCCACATGGAGCTGGGAGTATCTGCAGAGTATCTGCATGAAGGAATTGTCTCTGATCTCTTGCCAGATGTTCTCCAAACTCATCAGGCAATATAGGTGAAGACTCAAGCTGTTGTCTTGGCAAAAGAAGACTGGATCTTAGCGCTGCGTTCAACACTGTTGACCACAACATTCTTTTGAATAGACTAGAAAACTGTTGGCATTAGTGGAAGTGCATTAGCATGGTTCAAATCATACTTATCTGACCGTCATCAATTCGTAGCAGTCATCAGTGAAGAGGTATCATATCGATCACAAGTGCAGTATGGTGTACCTCAAGGCTCAGTACTAGGGCCATTACTTTTCACGCTTTACATGTTACCCTTGGGAGATATCATCTGGAAACACGGTGTTAGCTTTCACTGTTATGCTGATGATACTCAGCTCTATATTTCTTGGCGGCCCGGCAAAACATACCAATTTGAAAACGGAATGCATAGTCGATATAAAAAACTGGATTTCGAGCAATTTCTTACTGCTAAATTCTGAAAAAACAGAGGTGTTAATTATCGGACCTAAAACCTCCACATGTAATGAGCTAGAACACTGTCTAACACTTGATGGCTGCTCTGTCAATTCTTCGTCATCAGTTAGGAACCTTGGTGTGCTATTTGATAGCAATCTTTCCTTTGAAAGCCACGTTTCTTTTAAAGGATGAGATTAAAATTAAAAATTTATATGATATTCACCCTCTGTTGTGTTTTATGATTAAAGTTAGTAAAATTTACAGAGTAGATAACTTGATAGGTCGAATAAATAATATATTCAAAGAAATTAAGGATACGGGTTTATATAATGTTAAAACAAAATGGGAAATTGAATTAGATAATAAAATAACAGAAGGAGATTGGAAACAAAGTTTAAAAGAAAATGTAAGAACTACGCAATCTCCATATTGGCAAGAGAATGCTTGGAAAATCAATATGCAATATTTTATAACACCAGAAATATCTTCCAAATATAATCATTTATTTTCAGCATGTTGGAGAAGCTGCGGTGAACTTAAAGCCCATTATACTCACATATTTTATACTTGCAAAATAATAAAAACATTTTGGACAGAAGTAATTCAGGTAATAGAAGACATTTTTAAGAAATCAAATATAATAAAGGTACAAAATATAGTTTTGGCTATAGGACCTACGCTACTTAGTAAAGATGAGTTATATTTATTTAGAATACTGAGAATTACAGCTTTTATAACAATAACAAAATTCTGGAGAAGGCAAGAATCCCCAGTTTTAAATGATTGGTTAGATTTACTCTCTAAAGTACACTCTATGGAAATAACATATGAAATTAAGAGTAAAAGTATACATTTTGAAAAGATATGGGCACCTTTAAAATAAAAGTATACATTATAAAATAAAGGAATACATATACTAATTACCTCTATATAATTCTACCTCCCTTTTAATTTATTCATTAATTATTTTTATTTAATTAATATTATAATTAATTAGTCTTAATATTATTTGAATTACTTATTAGGAATTAGGTGTCATTATAAGAGTTTGATATGAATATGTGGATGTTTTTTTCTCTACTTTTTTATATGAAAAAGTGCTTAGGTTTATATTGGTTATTGTTCTAATTATTATTATTATTTTTTTTTTCTTTATGCATTGGTAATGGGTATTATCACAAAAGAAAAAAGTGAGGGAAGAGAAAGTAGAAGGAAAAATTAGGAATAATAATTGGTAAAACATATGATGTTTTTAAAGGAAATGTTAATTTGTATAACTGTATTAAATGTGCTTGAACTGAAGGACATAATAAAGTATAAAAACAAAAAAGGAAAGCGACGTTTGTAGCATTTGTAAAACTGCATTTTTTTCATCTAAAAAATATATCTAAATTACGACCTATGCTCTCAATGTCAAATGCAGAAACATTCATTCGTGCGTTCATGACCTCAATTTTAGATTATGGTAATGCTGCAAATTGTATTTGATAATACCTAGAATATCAAAATCAACTGCAGGCGGCAGATCCTTTTCCTATTTAGCGCCCAAACTCTGGAATAATCTACCTAACATTGACAGAGTGTGTCTGCCTCCTGAACAGTTTAAATCTAGATTAAAGGCCCATCTCTTTAACCTGGCTTACACATAACACACTAACACATTTCTAATATTCAAATCTGTTAAAGGATTTTTAGGCTGCATTAATTAGGACAACGGGAACCAGGAACACTTCCCATAACACCCGATGTACTTGCTACATCATTAGAAGAATGGCATCTACGCTTATATTAGTCTGTTTCTTTCTTATTCCGAGGTCACCGTAGCCACCAGATCCAGTCTGTATCCAGATCAGATGGTCACTGCAGTCACCCGGATCCAGTACATATCCAGCCCAGATGGTGGATCAGCACCTAGAGATGACCTCGACAGCCCTGAATGTCAGCGGAGATCAGGACAACTAGATGAGCCCTAGAGACAGATCCCCAGTTAAGACTTTGTCTCCTAGACAATAACCACAGGAACCAGATGAGTCCTCTGCACAATGGGACTTTGCTGCAGCCTGGAATTGAACTGCTGGTTTCGTCTGGCCAGAGGAGAACTGGCCCCCCGACTGAGCCTGGTTTCTCCCAAGGTTTTTTCTCCATTCTGTCCCTCCATTTTGGTTCCTTGCCGCTGTTGCCTCTGGCTTGCTTAGTTGGGGACACTTCATTTCCAGCGATATCGTCAACTTGATTGCACCGATGCTATTTAAACTGAACTGAGCTGGATGATGACATCACTGAATTCAATGATGAACAGCCTTTAACTGAAAATTGAGTATTTACTATTGTCATTTTGCATTATTGACACTATTTTCGTATTTAATGCTGTACAGTTGCTTTGACACAATCTGTATTGTTAAAAGCGTTATGTAAATAAAGGTTACTTGACTTGACTGCAAAAAGTAGGCCTATTGAATAAAAGGGTATCATTAATTGTGGCCAACGTGTATTAGTGAAGAAGAAACACATTTATTCCATAAGATTTTCCTCCCATTTTAAGTTCTTACTCTCCAGTTAAAGGCTAGATTTTTGTAATTAAAAAAAAAAAAAAAAGATCAAAAGGATGAACCTTTTCACAGGTTTCCTTGTTCTCTATATGTAATAAACTCCAGATGTAATAAATTTTCATGTGAACTGGACTCTGTCATAATAACAGTGAATGCTTTGTTTCTAATTAAGCTGCAGCACTTGTTTTAGAGTCATGCTTACCTCAACAGTGATGTTCGCCTTGACCTGCTCGACTCCTGCTTCTTCCCACATTTAGCTCAACTTCCTACCAGATAGCAGGCTTCTGTTTGTACACAGTGTCCAGCAGCATACTCTAAACTGTATTAGTATGCAATCAAATGCACTTAAAGAAAATGCATCTTCTCTACCTACTGTACGTGAAGAAAGCAAGACTATTTTTCTCCCATGGTTTCATTCTTGCAAAGTCTGCATTTACTCTGATATTTTGTGACTGATCATAAGCAACAAGGAAACCGGATTAGGACTAGGCAGGCCAGAAAAGAAGAACCCTCTCTTCTTTTCTTAAATGTGAAAAAAACACTAAAAAGACACATCCATGCTTGTTAAGCACCAAGACTTGAGAAAACCAGCAGCACCTCTCCATTATATCATAACCTCCATATCCTTCAGACACTTTCCTCCACTCTGTGCTAATGACACCAATAATAAGCACATTGTTCTGTCTTTCCTGTAATGCTGTGAAGGACAAAGGAAAGACGACAAACTTCACAAAGTGCAAAGCTAAGTCTGACTGATTACTGTTTAATGAATGGCTTAAAGGAGTAGTTCTCTTCAAACTGAAAAATATAAACCAACAGAAAACTATAAGTAGTTCACGAAGCCACACAATGGCTTTGTGTAAGAAACAGACCTAGATTTAAGTTTAACACTTGAAAATGAGCTGTTAATGTGTTAGTTTATTGTTATGTTTAACTAATCATTTAAACATGAATCAATTTTTTAGACTTTTCTATCTAAAAAAGCATGGCAGCACAGTTAGGTTTGCAAATTTGCATCTGAACAAACCATAAGTCTTCTAGAACAATGTTCTTTGAACAGACGAGACCAAAGTGAAGAGGTTTGGCCATAATGCACAATGCCACGTTTGGTGAAAACCTAAAGAGCATATCAGCACAAACACCTCATACCAAAAGTCAAGCATGTTGGAGGAGGGCTGATGATTTTGGGTTTGTTTAGTAGTCACAGGACCTGGGCACCTCCCAGTCACTGAGTCGACCATCAACTCTGTATCCCACAGCTAAAGTTGGGCCAAAATTGGGTCATGCAACAGGACAATGATCCCAAGCACACCAGCAAATCTACAACAGAATGACTGAAAGTGGAGTCAGCAGTTGAAGACATGTTGGGTGAGAAGATAGAGGATTCTGGGAGAAGTATTAGGGTGGGATGAATAAGCCGGACTCTAGTCACAATGAGAGGATGGTCCTGTCTCTATCTGAAGGGGTGGGTCTTCTTAGACATGGGACAAAGGGACAGGAGAAGAGGTCAAGGTGAGATAGATGTCCTGTCCACGGGAAGACAACAAACAGTCATTGTGCTTGTAGACCCATCCTTCATAATGACAGAGATAACAGAATCCACTATTAAATCACAAAGCTCTTCCACAAACTGTGACAAGACGGGAATGACTGGGTGTACATCTGTGGCTTTTTCGTTAAATACGTTTCTCTCTACCAATGGACATGCTTTTCACTCTGGTTGTTCTTCTACAAGCCGTGACTACAGCACAGGCCATCGGTAAGCACGTATTGTTTTATATGTACACTGCTTATTATTAAGTGCTTATTCTCTGAGTTTCATTCTAAATGACACTGCCAACCAGTTTTCCATTTTCCAGTTTTTCAAATGACTGTGATCAGCATATTGTTATATAGTACTATATATTTGGCATTTTTTGAAGGGCATGCTTACTTGTGCAAAAGTCACATCACTGTTTTCTCCAGAGCTGCATTATAGATTAACCCCATTCCATAACTGATGGACTTTACAGTTATTGAACCAACATGAATCAACAATGAACTGATTTCAACTGAATCATGACAAGAGCGTTCTGAGTGGTTTTTGTGTGTTGATACAGTATGTGGTGGCTAAGCGGTAAAGCCAAAATGTTCTTACTTGGCCCATCCCTAAGTGTTTTTGATGTTTTTTTTATTACAGAATCTTCCCATCTTAATTCTTGACTTAAAGGGTTAGTAAAAAATGATTTACTTGCCCTCATGTCATTCCTTACTTGTATGACTTTCTTCTGCTGAATACAAAAGAAGAAATTTGAAGAAGTGTGGTTACCATCGACTACTATTGCATGAAAAAAAGAGAAAAAATTACATTTCAAATGATTGTGTTCCACAGAAGAAAGGCAAACAGGGTTGGCATAACATGAGGGTAAGTAAATGAGGACAGGATTGTCATTTATGGGGTGAACTAAGCCTTTAAGATTTGAAAAAGATTCCTAATTAAAATTACCATGGTTACCAAGCAAGATTCTGAGTCATATGTTTCTGTACAGCTGCTGGTCTCTAAATATGATTAATGTACCTCAATGTAAGTTCATGCAAATCCTGAATCCGGTCACTTAGCGGTCATCTGCTTATTAATAAATTGAACTATCAATTATAATTATACCATAAATGATGGAATAAAGGAATACTGTTGTGTGACATCCAAATTAATGGTAATCATAGTGGTAGATAAAGGTACAGATAGTGTTATTTTTTTTAGTTAAACATCTCAGGAGGTTAAAATGAGTCAATTCTTTTGGCTCAGTATTCTATTCTACAAAATTTTAATCATTAATCAAAACATATTTATTAAGAAACATTCTCCATTTGAGCTCATACACCATTTGTTTCAAATACCAAAAGATGCCCAAGAAATAAGCAATATTTGGAGTGAAAAAAAAAATGTTTCTGGGTGTGGATATGCAGCAGATGTGAAAGATGAGAATTTATTGTAACAGTGTCCAAGAATGCTGTGCAAACAGTCATGACCTGAACATCCATTTATCCTTGACCTCCGGCTGTTCTTGTATCAACTGAACATCTCTAGGAGACAGACCTATCTAGAGTCTGCCTGTGTTGATAGTACTACCCTCTAATATTAATTAAAATATTAAGACATGTCTGTGGGTGTGAAAGTGCTGTTTTCAAAGGCACTGTAACAAAGTGTTTGTGATTTGGAAAATTCTAAAATTCAAATGATTACACATCATTTGACAAATCATGCAACTCAGAGGAAACCAGAATATCTGAAGAAACTGGGTGGGCTCTTTTCACTTGGGTCAGTAAGCAATCACATAGCAACCATTCAGAACACCCTGGTTACAGCATAGCAAAATGCCAAAACAACAAACACTCTTAGTAAACAAAAAGCAACACCTTAGCATAATGGTGGTTGGTTTTGCATAGACAAGCACTGCTTACATTTCCTTCAGAAAATGTAAAAGTCACATTTAAATGCATTGTGTCAGGGTTTTGAGAAGGCAAATGTCAATCCACTTGAAGGTTTGTGTTTTTGCCCAAAAACCTGACCCCTGACCTCTGTTGTGATGATTTGGAATTAGATATGGTCAGTGAGAGTTGATTCTATAACTCAGTGATCCTCAAATCTGGCTCGCGAGATCCACTTTCCTACAGAGTTTATCTCTAACCCTAATCAAACACACCTGAGTTTGCTAATCAATGTCTTCAGTATCATTAGAAAATCACAGGTAGGTTTGTTTGATTAGGGTTGGAGCTAAACTCTGCAAGAAAGTGGATCTTGTGAGCCAGATTTGAGGATCACTGCTATAACTGCACGACAGGGCAAATTTACCACAAGCCAGGGCACAGTGTGTTGTCTGCGGCTTTGGATTTTGTTTTATCTAAGGTGATAATTTACTGTGAAAGGATTCTCCCTCTATGCCTCATCAAGCTGCTGCCGCTTCCTGACTAATGGTCATTCACGCCTCATGCTGCATCATTTTTAATTTTCCACATGGTCCAGCAGAGCAGCCCAACTTCATATGAGGACCTAATTCATTTGAGAGTGTAAGGGAGAGTGCAGTGGTGCAGTGTAGAGTATTGATTAGCCTTCCTTTGAAAGCTGCCAACCAACTGAAGGAAAAGGGTTTTGTACTAACAGATCTTATTTAACAAGCAGTTGCATGCTCATGCTGTAGGGTGCAGGACTTTATCTGTACAGCTTTAGTAAACCTGCTCTGGTTAAAAACACTTTCCAGAAGAGACGGCACTGAGAATATTAGCCTCTCCTCCAGCATAGACCAGCATGCATTTCCTGACTAGATAATGCTGTTTAGTATTGGTTTGGTGGAGGTCTAGCGTGTGGATCATCTTGTTCACCAACAAAACTTAAAAACTTGTAAAGCTTGTTGACCGGTTCATCTTTCAAGTGAAGCTGGGTCCAAGTTTCTCGCGTTTTTAAAATAAATAAATAACAATAAAAACTATAAATAGCCCTTTAGATTAACTCAAATGAATGTGATGCATTAAAAAGAATGTTTGGCGTAAAATAATGGCATAAAACTTCTTTCTATTAAGTTGTCCTTTCAGGCTTTTACAGGCAAAAGAGTGTAGTCTGTCCGATTCATGAATGATTGACTCTCATGGGCTGAACCAGTTTATATATATGCAAGTGTTTCATATGTGAGATGATGACATGGCTGAGACCTTTTTGAAGGATTTTGATTTAGCCTACTTTTTTACCATTTTTGAGAACTTGAGCATAGTGTTTGTGTTGTGTCGACTTTGATTTATTGCAATTTTGAGGTGTTCAGTTTTATTTTGATCAGCTGTTTCTTGTTTTTCACTGGCATTTCTTGGGTGTTAATGACTAGTGACTAGTTAATTGAAACAGGAAATCTGTATCAATCGAATACAAATGTGATCATGTTTCCTAAGTATGCTGTGCCCAAAGGGATTATTTATTAGTTATAAGGAAATTATTAAGTCAGAGGAAATTATTTTAACAAAAAGTATCACCATCAGTCTGGTGGTGGCCCAAGCATGTACTAACCCATAGGACAGAAAAATCAAAAGTGAGAGCTCTTTAACATCTCAAATATTTCTTCTAGACAGAGATGAGGTTACTTTAAGATTGAATGGAGATTTTTACTTGAGTCTCCTGCTTCTCAAACTCTAATACTCGCACAATGGTCTCCTTTAACACTTTAAAAGAGGTCTCAATAACATCACACATTGCGCTCAGATTTTTCTCCTTAGCTACAGACATTGGATCGCTCACAATTGTCTCCTCAAAAGTTTAGATTAGAGATCTCAACAACATCAAACACTGTGCTCAGATTTTTCTCTTTAGCTAAATAATCTGGGGGTCTCAAATTTGTCTCCTGTAACGCTTTAGAACAGATCTCAACAACTTTACAAAGTGTGCATCAAGTACTTGAAAAGAACTCAATAAAGGGGGGGGGGGGCTATTGAGATCACTTCTGAAATTTAGAGGAGACAAACGTGAGAGATCCAGTGTCTCTAGTTAAGGAGAAAAATCTGAGCACTGTGTGTGATGTTGTTGAGATCTCTTCTAAACTTCTGAGGAGACAAATGTGAGCGATCCAGAGTCTCTAGCCAAGGAGAAATATCTATGCACAGTATGTAAAGTTAAGATCTCTTCTAAAGCTTTAAAGAAGACCATTGTGAGATTGCTAGAGTTTTTGTCTCAGGAGACAAGTTTGAGAAGCAGGAGACTCAAGCAAAAGTTTCCATTCAGTATTAAAATAACCTCATTTCTGTCTAGGAGAAATATTTGAAATGTTAAAGAGATCTCTTTTTGTTTGATTTTTCTTCCCTCTGGTTAGCTTCAATGTCATTTTTCCACACCATTATCAAAGTCAAATCAATGCATTGTCATGTTTGAAGTTGTTTTACGTAGACCGTGTTTTATTGTACAATGATTTAACAGAGAAAACCATAACCTATATTTACATGCATGCAAAAACGGGCTGTACAAGACACAATTTGAATGCTAAACAAAGCAAAAAAAAAAAAAAAACACTGGTACACTAGCGTGACATTTGATAAAAAAGGTATTTCTCTTATACTAAACATCTTGCACTTGTAAGTCCTTTCTAGTGTGTTTGGAAAATGTAGTGTATTTACAATGCTGGACATTGAAGATAAATTTAAACATTTAAACTATCCCAGCTAAAGGTACTTTCCTGCTCCTGTTCAGTTCTCAACTGTCCAATTGTTTCCAGTCTCTACTTCTACTGTCCTGACCATTAAAGGTGAAAAACCCCATTGCAATAAAAAAAGCAACCTCTGAGCAGTGAAACATTTTTATAATGGAGTTTTGCAAGAGATTACAGCAAGACAATAAAGAGATCTCCCATGTTTCTCACACGTTTCTCTCCCATTGTCATTTTGGATTCCTTTCTTTCAGAACTTTCTCATGTCTCAGTTGTGTCTACTTTTATTTATCCTAAGACATTTTAGGAGAAACATCTGAAATGCTGTTGATACTAAAACGAGAGATATATGAGAATCTCATCTAAGTCTCCTGAGCTTAGGAAAACCAACCACTTAGCAATATTTTTTTCCTATGGGAATGCATAATATGTGCTGACAAGTACTGACCAATTTTTACCTGTCTCGGCTCTAGATCCCTGCTCAGCGTATATCAGTTTGAATGAACCATGGCGGAACACTGACTACCACGTCAACAACTCTGCAGGAGTCCCTCTGTGCGACCGGCATGTGGCGGGAGAGTGGTATCGCTTTACGGGGATGGCTGGGGATGCTATGCCAACCTTCTGTATCGAGGAGAACCACTGTGGTACCCATGCTCCCATCTGGCTGAATGGCACCCACCCTCAGCCTAGCGATGGCATGGTCACCCTCCCAGCGTGTGCTAGCTTCAATAATAACTGCTGTCACTGGACAGCTAGTGTGGATGTAAAGGCCTGTGCTAAGGGTTACTATGTGTACCGCCTGCCCCGACCCTCCATCTGCTTCCACGTCTACTGTGGCCGTAAGTCTTCCTCCTGCTTTACTGGGTCTTTCTGACATTTTGGATAAAATTGACTTCCATCAGATTCGTTGTGTGTGTTGCCATAGATTTCTATGACATATGTGATGAGGTGGAGTGTAACGGAGCTGACTGTCCTGTCGAGCCAGAATGCCGCTGTTCTGAGGGAACGGTTCTAGGCCCGGATGCACAGACATGTCTGGGTGAGTAACAGTGTGGTCCAGGCCTGGCCAAAATAGATGCTTATAGAGCCGAAGAGTTATATTGCGATTAGAATGAGAGAGTGCTCTTGCAGTAATGAAAAAGAGACCACAAGACTGTTGAAAAGCGAAATTGAGAAACAATCCACTAATGTACGAAGGCAGCCAGCTAAATCAATGCTTTAATGGTGAAAAAGAAGAGAGTGCAATTTATAGTTTTAAAGGAATATCTGTAGGTAATTTTCAGGATACAATCTGTTGAAGTTTGTCTTGGAGAACTTTTTTTTTTTTGCTCCCGTCTGGTGCTGTTGCTATGGTTACCTATCAGAATGAGCGCAACTTATGTTCACAAGTCTGAGTCTCTATCTCTTAAGGATTTGTAGTTGTTACAAGAACAGCCAGAGGCCACGGATATATAGAAGTTTAAGGCAAGACTGTATAGGGTCCAGTCCTGCTCCTGGGGGTCCTGCAGATGTAGCTTCAAGTCTAATTAGGCACACCTGAAGCAGCAAATCAAGGTCTTCAGGATTACTACAACACTCTAGGCCAGGGTTGCCAGGTCTATGAAACAAAACCAGCCTAACTGTGATTCAAAACTAGCCATATAGCAATTTTTGTCTATGGTTTTCCCCTCTGTTGGAGGGCCCCTCCATTGAAATTGCATTCCTTGGGATAGCTTTAACCCGCCAACTAAAAAAGCAACCTGCAACAGTGTAAAAGTAGCCCAATTCTGTTGTAAAACCCCAGACTTGGCAACACTGATCCAAGCTGGTGGGTTGGGACCAGGCCTCTAGGACCAGGATTGGACACCCATAGTATAGGCCAAAGTAGTCTACACACACTGATCCACTTAAAACTGTTAAAATAAAATAAAAAGCCCTTCCAACTTTTAGTTTGACTTAGAGGCTTGGGGGATTCAAACCCTAATTGGAAGGGTTAGACTCCTAAAATCCTTTCTTAATTTGCAGAAAGAACACAGTGCATGAAGCAGTCCTACTTCGTAAGCTGGTGAGAGGAAAGTGTCAACTCCAAATGCTGTAGGGGCAAAGACACAACAGGAAAATAAGGAGTAAACAAAATAATGAAAACAATTAGATGTAATTGAATGCGTTCATTTACCGGATTGGATATACTTAAGGACATCAAGCCATCTATCCTACACATTGATGCTTTCTCTCTAGCTTTCAGTTTTTCCTGTGAGCATTTCATAACCTTTTTACCCTTCAGGAGAAACTTAACTTATCACTGTCAATTCCACTTCCAGAACAACATAAATGACTGGCCTTGTTGCAAAACGGTCATCCACCTACAGACGGAACATTTTAAGGCAGCATTTTGTGTTGATCCTGACACAAAGACTGTTCTGGTAAAGATTCTAAATCAACGTTGCATATATAGAAAACAATCCAAATGCACTCGAGTCTAGTCTTCTCAGGTGAAGCATTGAATGACGCACAAAGTTGCTGCCTGTGCATTTCAACTCAATATATTTCAGTTAGGATGCTGCCTTCAAAGTTTCTACTCCACATTCACTTATCTGCTTCTGTTTTTAACTGCGATCTGTTGTGTTAAGATGTGAACGAATGTGAGAAAGGCGATGGAGGATGTGCAGAAATATGCATCAACACCAAGGGCTCTCGTCGATGTGAGTGTGGACCAGGTAAAGTACTGCACGAGGACGGGAAGAGCTGTAAAGGTAAGAACATGGTAAACCAGAGCATCCTGAATATGGGCAGGCTTTCATTTAACTCATGCATTGTGGTTTCTGTGGTTGTGTGTAGAGACTGCTGGCTGTGACAATGTGAATGGAGGCTGCAGCCATGGATGCTTCTTAGAGGATGACTCATATTACTGTCATTGTCCCCGGGGTCTGACGTTGGGAGATGACAAACGGACCTGTCAAGGTGAGCTGAACCTATTTCTCCTACCTCGTGGCTCTTTCTGTCAGGGTTTGTAGATTTCACTACGAAGTTTGTTTTGTGTGCAGTCCCTGTGCAGTGTGATCCTAGTTCCATAGAGGTCTCAATTCCCAAAGAACTGGTGGGAGGACTTGACCTCTTCCTGTCTAACAGCTCCTGCCGGGGCATTTCCAATGGCACCCACATGAACCTCCACTTTAGTCTGAAGACATGTGGCACTGTGGTCCAGGTAAAAATTATTATGTATTTTTCAAACTTTGATCAGTCATTGGATTTCATGCACACCAGGACCAAAACTTGTCAGTTGCCCTTTAATGGATTGTCTATTTACACTAAGTGCAAATAGCCCACCTTGTTGGCAGAGGCTCTTTGCACTAACTTCACCCACCAATGTGCAGTTGGGCTAGTCAACATTACATAAGATGGCTGTCAAATAACAGTTCCAGTGGTGTAAGTGGTAAAACATGTAGTGCAGACTTTTTGACACAGTTGACCCAAGTTCAAATCTGCTATTTGCCGAACTCATTCTTGTCCCTTTTCACATCTCATATCACACCAGAAAGGCATTTATTTTCAATAAAAGTTAAGGAAAATAATCGAAAAGTTGAAAATGAAGAGTAGGGTTAGGGTTAGGTGTAGGGAGGGATTTATTGTCCCAATAGGTCAGCATCCATTTATTAATTTTAGTAAAACGTATAATTTACACTCAATACGTTATTATTGCATATTGTTTTATAATGTACTACAATACTGAGGTTCAGATATTTGCCACTACTTGCAATAAGTAGTATAAATAGCAGAAAACACTGCTATTTTTACACAGTGTAAATAGACACTATGACTATTTTCACTTAGTGTAAATAGCATCTATCGCTAAGAAAATATGCTATTTTCACTTAGTGGAAATAGCAATAGATGCTATTTGCACTTAGTGTATTTGCACTTAGTGTAAATACAGTAGTATCGCTATGCAGCTTATGGCAATAACAGCAAATAATAATAGAGTCAAAAAGAACTGTTACCACTGGGAAATGCTGTGATCTTTACTGGTCAAAAAGCCTCCTCAAAAGTACTTGTCAATGGTATTCCTTCATAATCTGCAACTTGCAGGACTGAATCCATAACACCTACTCAGAATCCAACCCTAATGGATAAAATCCTAAAGTCCTAGCTTCCATATTTTTCCTCACTCTCACATTACTGAAGTAAAATAGGTGGTGAATACCATTACATGTGAACTATTTGATAGGTCTCTTGGAATGTAATGGAACATCAACTTCCTTTCTCTCTTCTCCAGGTCATTGATGACAAAATTGTTGGCACCAACTTGGTAATAGGTTTGCCACGGTCTAGTCCCAGCAGCAATGGGGACTTGATTGTGCACACCAGTAAACTACTGCTGCCAATTACGTGTGAGTTTCCACGGCAGTACGAGGTGTCGGATGGCTACCTGCCCAGTCTGCGCAACACAGCACTCGAGTTAGCGGGCCACAGTGAAGGAATATTCCCCTTCAGTTTGGAGCTCTTCAAAAACGCTGAATTTTCCGAGGCATACAACCAACCTCCTCAACTGCATTTGCGTGATTCGCTGTACTTTGGCGTCGAGCCTCGAGAGCGGGTGGATGGCCTTGCTGCTTTTGTAGACAGCTGTTTTGCCACCCCTGGTCCCAATGCTGACCAGGCCTTAAAATACTACCTAATCAGAGATGGGTAGGCATTTCAAATAATTCAAAAATGAAGGCATGTTGTTCTGTACACTCATTCTGCATGCTCCATGACTGGTGCTATAAGTGATTTTAGCCATTTTACTAACTTCAACTAGCTGGTTTAAAGGGTTAGTTCACCCAAAAATGAAAAATTCTGTCATTAATGACTCACCCTCATGTTGTTCTGAACCCGTAATCCATCTTCAGAACACAAATTAAGATATTTTTGATGAATTCTGAGAGCCCTCTGACCCTCCCATAGACAGCAAGGATACTACCACGATCAAGGTCCAGAAATGTAGCAAGGAGATCGGTAAAATAACCCATGTGACATCAGGGGTTCAACCACAATTTTACGAAGCTACGACAATACTTTTTGTATGCAAAGAAAACAAAAATAACAACTTTATTCAACAATTTGTCTGCTCCACGTCACCCTGGTGCCATTTTGGAGAATATCCACTGAACGCAAACACCGTATGCTGTTCTGTGTCAGCTGCTTCACGCAGTTATTTTTGTTTTCTTTGCGTACAAAAAGTATTCTCGTATAGCTTCGTAAAATTACGATTGAACTCCTGATGTCACATGGATTATTTTACCGATCTCCTTGCTATGTTTCTGGACCTTGATCGTGGTAATTACATTGCTGTCTATGAGAGGGTCAGAGAGCTCTCAGAATCCATCAAAAATATCTTATTTGTGTTCCGAGGATGAACGGAGGTCGGGTTTGGAACAACATGAGGGTGAGTAATTAATGACAGAATTTTCATTTTTGGGTGAACTAACCCTTTAAGCTGGTGCTGAGCAGGAGCTAACCAGCTTAGGACCAGCACATGACCAGCATATAGCCAGCTCATAACCAACTAAGGACCAGCTCAAACCAGCTGCCATGCTTCAAAACATATCTAACCAGCATATACTGTTTGTTTTCAACAGTGTTCTACCATAAAATCTATCTTCAAAACCTGAATACTTCAGCAAACCTGACAGATATAAGGCACAGGAGCTGATTGGTTGGCTCTACTGTCATTTTTTTAGCTGTTTAGCGCATACTGTCACAGAGGCAGGTGTGATTCATCAGGACACCTTTTTCAGTAATGTCATTTCTGTGTGGGTACAATTTATCCACACTATTTTGAGGAGCGATGGCTTACGGCACCTTTAAACAAAGGCAGAGTCTATATTTAGAGAACATGTTGTGCTTTAATGGCCTTATATTTCTCAGCTGCATTTCAGACAATACGGTGCATCAGTTTTCGGCTAAAGATCAGCTCTCCAAACACTACCAGGTCCCTGTCTTCAAGTTCATTGGCAAGGACAACAGAGTGAGTAGGGAACAGGTGCATGCTGGGAAATACAGCTGCCTGGTCTGTCCTATGCATGTGCTTTTGTGTGCTAATGGGCTAGCTATTACTTTGCTGAAACTTTTGTGTGTACTGTGTGTGTATTAGGAGGTGTTCCTGCATTGCCATGTGCTGGTGTGTGGGCAGGAACAAGGGGAATCTCGTTGTACACAGGGCTGCCGAAAGCGCTTGAGGAGACATCTCTGGACTGACCAGCACCAAGAGCGACACCTACTTTCCAGTGGATCCATTCGCATACTGCCAGATCCATGAGACCACACACACCTATAAAATCTCTTACCCACAACGCCATCTACAGGCTACTTTACTGTATTTAAACACATCCATACTGCATACAGTATCTGCAGTAATTTTACATTTATGAGTTGCATCAGTTGCTTCCTTCCACTACTTCCGACATTATATTTACTATATAAAGCCTCACTAGAAAATATGTCTTTCCATGTGCATGCATCTACTGTAGGTGAAGTATTGTGTATGCAATTAACAGTATAAGCCTAGGCATTTCAAAAAAGGTTAGACCAAGTGGCATTTTACAGTTTTTAATGCTAATTTGCATATACGCTCACACTGTTTTACTGGGGAAAATAAAATGATTTTACAGCCAATTAAATTATTTTTGTCACAGTCTGTAGTCATATTGTCTCTCTCAGTGCAATACACATTCATGTGTGTTACTGTTTAACACCCATTCTGCATAAATATCATAAATATCTTACGGAGGTTCAACAATCATAATATTTTGATTATTTCTAAACAAAACAACTTTAGTTTGGAACAAAGTTCCGTAATGATAAATTAACTAGTAGCTCTATACTAACACACTGTCAGATATTGTAGGAATTTTGTATTTCTTTTATTTTTTAATGTAAAGCAAGTGAATATTGTTTATCAAATTGGACATATGACGTTGTCACAAACTATATATTTTATGGATATTGTCTTCCCATAAAACAAACCTACACAAAATCACACACTGCAAATTTGTGGGATAGACACTTTCACACATACAACATAAAACTTTTTTAGTTTCCACTGATATAAAACTAATTCACTAGCACCAGTTCAAGGGTTAGTGGGTGAATCTCACAAAACGTGTCAAGAAAAGGTAATATTTCCCCCCAAAATATGGATGAAATATAAAATATGTCAGTTTTTAGGACCAATACATTTGTTTGTTTGATTGTTTGCTTGCTTTGTGACATTTTTAGGAACATTAGGCTAATTTCTGCAAAATTTTCAATTCGATCATGCAAAACAACTCTTTTTCTGCAATGCAAATAAAATTAATATTTTACTTAAATTAGTAAATGCAAATTAATAGTATTTGTTCATTGCAGTAGTATGTCATATACAGCATTTAATGTATGCGGTAATTGTTAATTACAATTATTAAAAATAATAATAATAACAACGATAAATAAAATGACTATATTAAACTAATGAGAATCCAACAACAACCACCACTGTTGTTCATTGCAGTAAATCTGCCTAATTGTTTCTTTTCATTAATGTGGTGAAATGTGACCAGGGTGTTTTAATGAGATTCATCCTAATACTGACCCCTAGTGTGGAGTAGTTTAAACTTGTAAAGTGTTTATATGTGTTGAAGGTGGTGTGTTTTTGTGGTTTGTAGGTCTTCACAGCTCATCCTTGTCTTCTCCTTCACAATAGCAGGCTGCTCTCTGGCTGTTCATGAAGGGCCTGCAGCCCAAAGTCCACATGGTGTTATACAGGGTGTCCGCAAAGGTCTCACAGGCTGTGGAAGAGAAGGGATATGAGGGGTTTTGTCTGGTGTGCAAAAGTGCGATTGCAAATGACAATCCATATAATCAGTCAAAAATATTTTCAGCTGGGTTAGCCATAACAGATAATGGATCTGTTCCAACACAGATATATACAAAAACCATTACGTATATACACACACATTACATACTGTATATATAAAACACATTACGTCTGTGGAATGTCCCTATAAAACATGGAAACCCAATGTGTGTGTGTGTGTGTGTTTCACACCTTCAACTTTTGACATGAGGCCCAGACTCTTCTTCAGGTCACCACAGATGCTATGGAGGCACCAGCGGAATTTGGTGTCACAGCGGTACTTGTTAGAGCCACAGGTGTCATAGCAAATGTCTAGCTGATTACAACATTTGGTCATGGCTGGGACACCAATATCAAACTGAGGAGTAATAGCAAATTACACAACATGAGCTTTAAAACTCTTTTGCACTTCACTGTTAAAACACAAACATGCAGTTCAGACACACAAAGAACCACACAAATAACTTGTTAGTCACAAAAAAAAAAAAATGGAACAACATATGTGATCGCATCCTTTCAATGTCCCACTCACATTAATATTAATTAAGGAAATGAAATGTATGCGAGTCTGTGTATATCAATAATGGTTATATAATGAATTTATATAATTATTCAGTAACAGTTTATTTTAAGGTCCAATTCTCACTATTAAAGTCACCATGAAATAAAAATTGAAAATTCTTATTTTTTAATGGAATATTGTAGTGTTTATTATAAATAATTTACCCGTCTCCCTCAAAATGACTCCTCTACTCTTCCGGTCACGTGCTATGGCACCGGGGCGGAGCTAGTGACGTGAGGGGTAAACGCTGGGATAAACGACAGGGGGAAAAGCTGAAGCTGATGCTTCACTTTATAGCACTGACACCAGTCATGAGGGAGTACGTTACCCCTAAACATTGAAAAGATATTAGGATATTACGACAACATTACTCTTAGGACATCGCAAACTAATTTTTTCATGAATATGACTTAACCTGATGGAGGCTCAGTCATTCAGGCAGTCGCGCTCTCTCTCTCGCGCGCTGTTTAGGCATGTTTTGTGCCGTTGATCGTCGTCGTCATCCTTAATAAATAAACATTTATTCATGCTTGGGTGTCGGCTGTGAATCCAGTGGAGAGAAATCCCCCACCACTAACTGCAAACTGGCATTCATTCAGATCTGCCTCCATATTGTTAGCAACGCCCCAACTTTCAATGATCCAATCAATTCCCACCCTCTCATTTCAGATGCCGTTTCACTTGGATATACGTCACAGTAGAGAAGAAAAGACAATCGCAACTTCCATTTCATGCCGACTTTAACTAGTTGCTTATTAGCATGCATATTACCTGTTTATTAGCACTTATAAGGGACATATTAATGCCTTATTCTGCATGACCATATTTTAGATCCCTTAATCTGACCAAATACCTAAACTTAACAACTACCTTACTAACTATTAATAAGCAGGAAATTAGGAGTTTGAGGGAAAACTCTTAGTTAATACGGAATATGTGTTCCTTATTCTAAAGTGTTACCAATAATTATGTATAATTATAAAATCACATTTCAATGTATGCAAAGTATGTAATTATGTTATGGTAATACCCAAACTATAATATGCCGGACTTTAAATGTATCACTACATTTTAAGCAATATCAAACAAAGGTGTCCATCTTTGGTGTGAAAAGGTCGAAGACTCCTGCTTTAGTCATAACCGTGGTTATTTAAGAGATGCAGTGATGGTGGTTAGAGTCGCATCGTAATTTGAAATGTTGAAACATGAGGCAATTACATTTGTCGCCCATAGAGGAGGATTCAGATATATCGCCTGCATAAGTGATTTCTGAATTAACACCTTAAACCTCAAAGTTAGAATTTATTCAAGTTCCAGAAATTACATTGGGGGCTGTCCATGTTTGTGTGAAAGTAATTGGCACATTTGCTTTCCTCTTTCCTGACAGCAGTCCTATCAGCACTTTGGCTGGATGCCAAACTTAACTGAAGAGAATGTGAACATCCATCAGGTTCTGGACAGAGTCTGCTCTAGTCTCTCGATTTAGGAGCACCATATCTGAAATTGTGCTGGCCTGTGCAATGCTGGTCATGCAGAGCCAGACTTTTAACTTAATGCCATGAGGTCTGGTGCACATTGCAACTATGGCCAAAAACCATTCACTTAGAAAGGAAGTGTCATTTTGACTGAGTCTGATGTAAATCAACCAATCTCAGTTTGCCACAGTTAGGGGTTTACTTAAAGGGGTCAGACGATGCGATTTCAAGTTTTCCTTTCTCTTTGGAGCGTTACAAGCTGATTGTGCATAGATAAAATCCCTGAAGTTGCAAAGACTAAAGTCTCAAAACCAAATAGATATTCTTTATCAAAGTTAAGACTCTGCCACGCCACATATCTACCTCACTATGTGGAAATATTAGCATAATGCCGCCCAAATGTGCACGCAAAGAAAGAAGGTGTGGTTTCAGTAACCGCAGTTAGTGTTGAAGCAGCATGTCAGGGAGATGCTGTGTGTTTCTAGGTGAAAGCAAAAGCACTTTATTTGGCCTTCCAAAAGTAGATGCATTTAGGAATGTTTAAGATTACATACAACAGAACAGCAATGCATTTTATGGACGACCGTTTCGTGAACCTAGGAGAGGAGGTCATTCTGACTTTGCTTTAACCGTGGCTTGTGTACTGCACACATACCAGCTTTATCACTGTGTCTGTCATGTGACTTTGTTCCCCTTTTTGGCTCTGTCTTTACATTTATTTTGAAAGATGAAGCTCGCGATTATGGTAAGGGGCGTTACGTTTCCGACGAGTGCTTGTGGTGTTCGGCCAATCACAATACACTGGGTCAGCTGGCCAATCAGAGCAGACTGCGCTTGTCGGAAGGAGGAACCTTGTAGAAAACTAAGCGTTTGAGAGAGGTGGGGCATAGAGGACCTATAATAATGTACAGTATTTGAAAAATAATGTGTTTTTTAACATTAAAGCATGTCAACATTCTGTTACACCAAATACACAAAATAATGATCTTTAAAAAAATGCATCATATGACCCCTTTAAAATGTTATTATACTATAACATTGCTTGAGAAAACAAGAATACATGTGTAAGAAAAGAGAGTTATATAGTTTACTTACTACTAACTCACGAATCCTGTCCATGAACTTCCGTCTGCTTGCCACCAGAGGTCGCCCTCCCTTTATATTGACTCTCACACCACACAGACAGTTACACATCACCCTGGCTACATTTCCCATGCTCCATTGCACTAATCACAAGCTCACCTGAAACCAATCACACACAGCTGCTACCAATAACACACTATATAAATCAGTTTCACACCACCATTCAACACTGAGTATTGTTCAGCATTTATCGCTCACCTAGGGATAGCTACTTTACGGAGCCCTTCCAAGTTCATGAGTCTAGCCTTGTTCATAGTCTGTTTTGCCGTGTCTTGATCCTAGCCTGTTATCTCGTCCTGTCTGATTTCTGCCTGCCCTGAAGTTTATAGCCTGTCTTGGATTTACCCTTTGCCTTGCTGATTCGGACTGTGTTTGCACCTCGATTGGATTATTGCTTGTTTTGGATTCCTCTTTTGTCTTGCCCTCTACATATCTATTTGCTGGTGTCCGACTCTTGCCTGTGTTGACCCTGCCTGTAAATAAAAGCTTGCATATGGATCCGCATGCCTCTCATCTCATCGGCTCCATTACAGAATACTCGGCCTTGAATGGTAGTGTGAAACTGATCTATATAGTGTGTGTTATTGGTAGCAGCTGTGTGTGATTGGTTTCAGGTGAGCTTGTGATTAGTGCAATGGAGCATGGGAAATGTAGTCCAGGGTGATGTGTAACAGTCTGTGTGGTGTGAGAGTCAATGTAAAGGGAGGGCGACATCAGGTGGCAAGCAGACGGAAGTTCATGGACAGGATTCGTGACAAAGTGCTTTATATTCAAACCTTTTTCATATGCTACAAACCTGGAAGTGAGATATCTACCAGCTTGTTTCATATTATGTCACTGTACAATACTTTAAAACCCAAAGTCATTTGTCTGTGCTTTTCTTCTTTTACCAAGCAGGACTGTCTTTGTGTTATCAAGTATCAGACAAGAAAGGTATAAAATAATCATCACATTTTTCACCTGTCTAACATGTAAATATTAGTTGGTTTATTTGGATGGATCTTTTATTTACAGTACAACTTTGATTCATTGGCCAGTGTGCACTTCATTGGCCGAATTCACACAGACCATGCATGGGGACAGAATATACAGTATCAAAGATTCAAGGAG